TGTGTGTGTGTGTGTGTGTGTGTGTGTGTGTGTGTGTGTGTGTGTGTAGATTGCAATGCTGGCCTATTTTACTGCCAGGGAATGAGAGATGTCTTGCAGTTTCAGTCCTATCATCTCTTATTTTGTGTATGTGTGGAGAATGCTTATTAAAACTACACAAACAAATGAAGCTGTAATTATCTTAAGCCTCATTTGCACACCTTGTTCCAAAGCAATTATTAAAAAGATTTTGAAAACAATTAGCGTCTCTAAACAAAGATAATCTATTGTCAGAGCTGAGACTGGCAGGAGATAAGAACAATGCGTGGAGATAAGGGGAGCCAAACGGTGGAAGGAGAGTGACTTTATGACTATACTTATCTCTGATTAGATAAGTTCAAAACAGAATTTTAAGTACACTTCAAAAATGCTTTTGATTTAAACGTCTCCTCTTAGTGAATGCAAGGAGCAAACTCTAGGTTCTTTAAACTTGCTTGTCTTCTTTAAATATGTTTTGATTCCATCAGCAAGAGCCCAGCATCGCAGAACCATTTACATATTCAGACATAAGTGGGAGTGGAAGACGGAGAAGCACGGTGTCTCTTTCCCCTTGTATTATTTATATGGTTTAAAAATAATGCACCCAGTCCAATGCACCCTGCAATGTACATCTTAAACTCATGAAGGGTTTCCACTCCCTAGCTGTCTCTCAGGAGGCTCCGAGTAGACATGAAGCTGCTTCTCCGCTGAACTCCCAAACAATGCTTTTTGCATCTTTGAAACCCTGCAGTATCCCATGCAATTAGACCTTGGAAATAGATGCTGATATTTCAATATGTTTGGGATTATTTTTAAGTACATTTAATGGGTGCATATTATTTCAAAAGAGCCCCTACCACACTGTGTGCCCAATGACTTACTTTCTAAACTGGAAACCTGGCAAAGCTGAGCCCAAGCCCATGTGTCTGGTAATTTTCCCTGGCGGTCTTATTTTAGTGCTCATGATGTTTCAGATGAAGTCTTGAGGAGCTGCAGTGTCCTGCCAGAAGGAACGTCTCTGCTTGGAACAGTCCTTATTGACATGGCAGCTGTGTGAGGACTGGAATGGAGGCTTAAACTCGGCTCTAAAAAATCAGTTAATGCCCTAAAGTCTGGAGCGAGTGCGCAGAATTACAATGTGTGTGTGTGTTAGAGGAATGTGTGGGGGGGGCGGGAGTCTGTAAGTACAACCAAGTCTCTTAAAAGACAAACGGTAAATTGAGTATGGGGTGTACTTTATAATTAACAATTTTGTATAAGGAAATGAGGCACAGCTTGGACAAATAAGGGCAGGTATTGATTTACAGGGAGCAGAGAGATGACAGTTAGACACCAATATGACCACCTTTTTTCCGGCTTCCTCCAGACCTCCCTGCCCACTTCTTTTCATCTCTCTTCAAAAGGAATCAAGACGCACTAGACGTTGGCGACAACTGGGAAGACGACCGTGTGGATGCCGCGATTGCGGGCACCGGGGTTGATGTGATGTGGTGCTCGTCCTTGGAGGCCGTGCCCGGGCCCACCAGCCTTTCTCCTAGCGTTCAATCCAGTAGATCGCGTGACTAGAAAGGAAAAGTGCCTTTCGCTTTGTACCAACGAGCCTACCTGCTATTTCAATCCCTCGGTTAGGGGAACCAATCGTTATAAATGTTAATTATTGGCTCAGATATATAAGGTTTCCCAAAATGGAACCTTTCACTGAAAACCACTAAAAGAGGTAAAATGACATGAATTTACAAACCACATAAACCAAATGATCCATTTTAAATCGCACACAGAAAGGTCTGAGTTGTTCTAGTAACTTAAAACCTTTTGCTGTCAATGCAAATCACAAGAAAACAGAGATGCGGCGGAGATTTAAAGGCAACGAGCAACTCTAGCTGCTGCCCTCGCCGCTTCGCGGCTCCCGAGGGTAACGCGGCTGGAAAGGAGCTCCCAACACCAGGTTTCTGCTCTCCTGTGCCTCCCTCCGTGCAGGTAACGGCCGGGTGCGCACAACTGGTCTATGGAAAGGTCAATGCAGAGGCACCAGTTGGTGCTGGGGTTTCTCGGTCGGGTTGACATAAGGCCTTGGTTCAAAAAGCTCTGGCTGGGACCTAGTTGTTTCCCTTCTGGCTTGGAGCAAGATGCTTTGAGGCTCCCGGCCGGCTTTCTTGGAATTCCTTTGCCATTAAGAACGACAGCGGGGATTCTACTCTACCTAAAGATATTTGGAAGGGAAGGGCTTCGGGAGGTGTCTCTTCCATAAATTAGCGTCGTCGCTCTGGGGCAGTGAGAAGACTCCCCAAATCCTGGCTGAAGTGACAACGTCTATCTTTTTCCTCTACTTGGTCGGAACCTCCTCTACCCTCGGGATCCCGGGCTCCGATGGCGGCGCGGCACCCGAGCAGCCGCCCACCTGCCTCCTGGGGGACGCTGCTCCCCACGAGCTCTGAATAGGCCGAGGGCTCAGGCAGGGCGATGTGCGGACCCAAAGGAGAGAAACCCAAAACCAGTCCATTAGTAAATGAGTTTTGTGTTGTCAAGGTTCTTTCCCATCCACTTGCTGTTCTGAAAAATAGATCACGTTTCGTTATCTTTAGTGGGAATCTGCAACGTGACACCGGATCCGCGCGGCCCCCGCCTCTCTCTCCCTCCCTTCCTTCCAGCCTCGCTTGGCCGGGCCAAGGGGAGCCGGCCGGCCTCCTTGGCTTATTTCTGAACAATGAAGATTTGTCTGTTCCCCTAATATATTTATGTATGGAGGTAGGGAGGGAGTTTTCTCCTGGAAGCGGGAAACATGCGAGCAGAGCCTCCCGCTTCCTTGGTGCGAAAACGCAGCGGCAGCCCAAGACACCGGGAGGCTGCCGCCCCCTGCCCACACCTGGACAAACAGAGCGGGCTGCGAGCCCAGCTTGCTGCTAAAAACCGTGCCGCCCCGCGCGGCTCCTGAAAATACAGTCTCCACATTGTTCCGGGGTCGGGGAAGGAAGAGAGAGGAGAGAGAAAGGCTGAGACACACCGCCGCGAGGGAACTCAGATTGGACGGGGACAGTGCTGGAGTGTGTGTGTTTGGAGAGGTTATCCTCTCCCTCTGTGTGTGTCCCCAGGTCTGGTCTCTCTCCGTGTCTCTTTCTACCTCATCCTCTCTTTTCAGTCTGAAAGAGGAAGCTCATTCATTCTGTGTGTGTGAACCTCTGATTCCTTCATTCTCTCTTTTATTCTCTCTTATCTCCATCTCACCCTCTGGCCCTTTCGTTCCCTCACTGCCTCATTCTCATTCTTCTCCGCGTTTCTCTCTCTCTCTCTCTCTCTCTCACCACACCCTCTCCTCTCTATCTGGATCCCTCTATTCTCTTTTTCTTTTTTCCTTCTCTCTTTCTCTCGTTCCTCTCCCTTCCGCACGACTATTGGCGCCTGCGCCTGCTTCCCCAGGACCAGGAGCTGTGAGGTCTCACAGAGCGTGCTGTGCTGATATCGGGCACCCAGGCAGCGCAGGGCTAGTAGACTCTGAAGTCCGGGCAGTTGCGTCTGGCTCAGCTGGTGGGGACCCACCACACTGAGTGGTGGTGTGGTTAAAAAGGTGGGGGCACCCATGGAGGACTGAGGAAGGTGGGTTGGCCACCTGGGGGGGAAAGGGCAGATTTAAGCTGTGCTCTGCGAAGGCTCAGGCCCAGAGACTTGCCAATCGCCAGATTTGAGTCAGAAGACACCACTCAACATTAGACAGATGCCAAGCACCTTTCTGGAAAGTGAAGGAGAGTGTAGTAAGAATCTGTTCTTAAGAAGCTAAGACACTCTTCCCTCCTTTGCTTTATTAATATTACCTCAGGGCAAGAGTTCTTATCTTCC